TGTTATGGATAAAACCATGCAGGACTTACATCTGCAATGAGCTTATATTGATTTATTTAGAAACGTGATTCACAAATAGGAGCATGTTCACTCACCGGCCACTTTATTAGGTACACCTTGCTAGTACCGGGTTGGACCCCCCCTTTGTCTTCAGAACTGCCCTAATCCTTCGTGGCATAGATTCAACAAGGTACTGGAAACATTCCTCAGAGAGTTTGGTCCATATTGACATGATAGCATCACACAGATACTGCAGATTTGTCAGCTGCACATACATGATGTGAATCTCCCGTTCCACCACATCCCAAAAGTGCTCTATTAGTTCGAGATCTGGTGACTGTGGAGGCCATTTGAGTCCAGTGAACTCATTGTCATGTTCAAGAAACCAGTCTGAGATGATTCGTGCTTTATGACATGGCACGTTATCCTGCTGGAAGTAACCATCAGAAGATGGGTACACTGTGGTCATAAAGGGATGGACATGGTCAGCAACAATACGACCATCCGAATGTCGCAGCAGAAATCGAGACTCAACAGACCAGGCAACGTTTTTCCAATCTTCTATTCTCCAATTCTGGTGAGACTGTGTGAATTGTAGCCTCAGTTTCCTGTTCTTAGCTGACAGGAGTGGCACCCGGTGTGGTCTTCTGCTGCTGTAGCCCATCCGCCTCAAGGTTCAACGTGTTGTGCGTTCAGAGATGCTCTTCTGCATGCCTTGGTTGTAACGAGTGATTATTTGAGTTACTGTTGCCTTTCTATCAGCTCCAACCAGTCTGGCCATTCTCCTCTGACCTCTGGCACCAACAAGGCATTTGCGCCCACAGAACTGCCGCTCACCTGATATTTTCTCTTTTTCAGACCATTCTCTGTAAACCCTAGAGATGGTAGTGCGTGAAAAACCCAGTAGATCAGCAGTTTCTGAAATACTCAGACCAACAACCGTGCCACATTCAAAGTCACTTAAATCAACTTTCTTCTCCATTCCGATGCTCGGTTTGAACTGCAGCAGATCGTCTTGACCATGTCTACATGTCTAAATGCATTGAGTTGCTGCCATGTGATTGGCTGATTAGAAATTTGCGTTACTAGCAGTTGGACAGGTGTACCTAATAAAGTGGCCGGTGAGTGTACATTGACAGAAAACACAATAGTAAAAGCCAGAAGTAAAAACATGAATCTTCTTACCTAAAAATAAAACTCCTTAATGAGTTCAAACAGCTGCTGTGTCTCTATGGTTGTGCTCCTGGCTCCCTGCTCAAACCGTAATCTGTAAAAAGTTGAGGCGTAACCTGTGGTATCCTTGTCCCTCAAACTTGGATTGTTTCTTCCCTTACAGCCAAGTTTCCAAATGTTTCATAACCGTGTTTACTTTCATGAAGCTCACCCATATGTCCTGCGTAAAAAAAGATCTTTGAGGAACCTAGGGGTACTCAATCTGTCCACCTTTTGTTTTGAAATTGTCTGTTTAACATACTACACTGCTCCAAAAAATAAAGTGAACACTTAAACAACACAATATAACTCAAAGTAAATCAAACTTCTGTGAAATCAAACTGTCCACTTAGGAAGCAACACTGACTGACCATCAGTTTCACATGCTGTTTTGGGAAAAGACAACAGGGGGAAATCTTTGGCGATTAGCAAGATGCACTCAATGAAGGAGTGGTTCTGCAGGTGGAGACCACAGACCACTTCTCAGTACCTATGCTTTCTGGCTGATGTTTTGGTCACTGTTGAATGTTGGTGGTGCTTTCACACTCGTGGTAGCATGAGACGGACTCTACAACCACACAAGTGGCTCAGGTAGTGCAGCTCATCCAGGATGGGACATCAATGCAAGCTGTGGCAAGAAGGTTTGCTGTGTCTGTCAGCGTCGTGTCCAGAGCCTGGAGGCGCTACCAGGAGACAGGCCAGTACACCAGGAGACTTGGAGGAGGCCGTAGGAGGGCAACAACCCAGCAGCGGGACTGCTACCTCCACCTTTGTGCAAGGAGGAACAGGAGGAGCACTGCCAGAGCCCTGCAAAATGACCTCCAGCAGGCCACAAATTGTGCATGTGTCTGCACAAACGGTTAGAAACCGACTCCATGAGGATGGTATGAGGGCCCGACGTCCACAAATGAGGGTTGTGCTCACAGCCCAACACCGTGCAGGACGCTTGGCATTTGCCAGAGAACACGAGGATTGGCAAATTCGTCACTGGCGCCCTGTGCTCTTCACAGATGAAAGCAGGTTCACACTGAGCACATGTGACAGACGTGACAGAGTCTGGATACACGGTGGAGAGAGATCTGCTGCCTGCAACATCCTTCAGCATGACCGGTTTGGTAAGGGGTCAGTAATGGTGTGGGGTGGCATTTCTTTGGAGGGCCGCATGGCCCTCCATGTGCTCGCCAGAGGTAGCCTGACTGCCATTAGGTACCGAGATGAGATCCTCAGACCCCTTGTGAGACCATATGCTGGTGCGGTTGGCCCTGGGTTCCTCCTAATGCAGTATAATGCTAGACCTCGTGTGGCTGGAGTGTGTCAGCAGTTCCTGCAAGAAGAAGACATTGAAGCTATGGACTGGCCCGCCCGTTCCCCAGACCTGAATCTGATTGAGCACATCTGGGACATCATGTCTCGCTCCATCCACCAACATCACGTTTCACCACAGACTGTCCAGGAGTTGGCGGATGCTTTAGTCCAGGTCTGGGAGGAGATCCCTCAGGAGACCATCCGCCGTCTCATCAGGAGCATGCCCAGGCGTTGTAGGGAGGTCATACAGGCACGTGGAGGCCACACACAATACTGAGCCTCATTTTGACTTGTTTTAAGGACATTACATCAAAGGTGGATCAGCCTGTAGTGTGTTTTTCCACTTTAATTTGTGGTGTGACTCCAAATCCAGGCCTCCATTGGTTAATAAATTAGATTTCCATTGATGATTTTTGTGTGATTTTGTTGTCAGCACATTCAACTTTGTACAGAACAAAGTATTCAATGAGAATATTTCATTCATTCAGATCTAGGATGTGTTATTGGAGTGTTCCCTTTATTTTTTTTAAGCAGTGTAGAAAGTTACTTTTTTATCTGTTTAAGGGAATAAACTAGGCTGCATGTCTTTATATGTGAAAGAGAATATCCAGTTGACTGAGCAAGGCCTAAAGACTAGTTCAAAGTGTTTTAAAATGACTTATCTGCTTTGAAATACAGTGGAGAGGTCGATTGGGATTTATTTGTTTCATACTTGAAAGATCTCTGGGTTTCCTAGCTTATAAATATATTTAGGCTTTAAGCTTTTCTGCAGCAGCAGATTTAGTTATTTTTTGCAGCTTTAAGTGGGATCTTCAGGTTTCATCCTCTGGTTGTTTCCACATGTTGCTGTCACTAATTGTGTTTAAACCAGAAGAAGGCTATAACTCTACATGGCCATACTCTTGCATATGTTGTGTTCAGTGTTCCACAGAGCGCGCTCAGCAGCTCCCTGTGTCGTCTTCTTTGACGAGCTGGACTCTCTGGCTCCCAACAGGGGCCGCAGTGGAGACTCTGGAGGAGTGATGGACAGGTGAGCTTTGACCTTTCCGGTGGATTCTTCTGTCGTGAAGCCTCCTGCTACCTTTTCTCTGTCTTCTGATCAGAGTCGTGTCTCAGCTGCTGGCCGAACTGGACTCGTTGCAGTCGTCGGCTGGAGTTTTTGTGATCGGAGCCACAAACCGTCCTGATCTGCTGGACCAGTCGCTGCTTAGACCTGGCAGGTTGGAAACCTCTCACAATCAACTGATGACAGTGTTGAATATGGAAACACTTGTAGAATTACTGGGTTGTTCTTTGGTACAGCAAGCAGGAGAACTCTGTGCTGATTCAACAGACTGAATTTCTTTTTGACTCTCTCTGCAGGTTTGATAAACTGGTCTATGTTGGGGTCAGTGAGGACCGAGTCTCCAAGTTGCAGGTTCTCCAGGCCATCCTCAGAAAGTAAGAAAATAAAATGTGTTCATCTGGAACATCAGGTTCCTTGGTTTTTGTTAATGTTAAATAGAACATTTTCATATGTTCTGTTTGGGTTAAAATGCCTTCACCGTGTCTGTAGGTTCCAGTTGGAGCCAGCAGTGAATCTGCAGGATCTAGTGGATCAATGTCCTGCTCACATGACCGGCGCCGATCTGTACGCTCTCTGTTCTGATGCTATGACGGCCGCCATCAAGAGGAAGATCCACTTGATCAATGATGGTAAGAACAAGAACATGACTTTAAAAAGTGATCTAATGGCACTCCTATATGGTCCACACTTCCATGGTCCTCTCAGGTACACTAACTATAGTCTATAGTGTACTTTGCAACCATTCATGTTTTTTATTTTTTATTTTTTCTCGTGTTCACAGTTAGTTTGGCTCTGTCTCCCTCTTTGCTGTTCAAGAGAAGCTGTTTTTCCTTATCTGTAATCTCACCATTCTCTCCCACAGGTCTGGATTCAGAGGATTCCCCTGTTCTCGTCTCTGTAGAGGATTTCTCTTCTGCTCTGAAAAACTTCAAGCCTTCTGTTTCTGAAAAGGAGCTGCAGCGGTACCGGAACATTCATCAGGAACTCACTGGAAAGTAGAAGCCCTCTGTGAGGCGATTTCACCAAGTTTAGTTGCTTAAAGCTTAAGCCACATGATGGAGAAAATGTTTCAGCTGGAGTTGGAAAAATAATCAATCACAGCTGAAAAGCCCTAACATGTAAATTACATTAAGAAAGGTTAATTTATAAGGAACAGATGTGAATAAATATGAGTGAAAAGACTGTGAATGTCAGTTTCTATTCATTGTTTAGTTTTTTGACAGAATTACAACTAGTGTGAAATTATTACGATTAACAAGGTTTTACAACATCTCCAAGTTGTGGATACTAAAATTGCAAATTCAGTCTCAATAACAAGAAAAATACTCAATACTGGATAATATTTTTGCTACTGGTGTTTTTTGTTTTGTTTTGTTTTGAACCCATGAGGTTATTTTTAATAAACAAGATAAACATAACCGATATAACGGTGGCGCAGTTGGTAGCACTGTTTGCAGCAAGAAGGTCCTGGGTTCGACTCCCAGCCGGGGTCTTTCTGCATGGAGTTTGCATGTTCTCCCCGTGCATGCATGGGTTCTCACCGGGTACTCTGGCTTCCTTCCACAGTCCAAAGACATACCTGTTAGGTTAATTGGTTTCTCTAAATTGCCCATGGTTTGTGTTTGTGTGTTGCCCTGTGATGGACTGACAACCTGTCCAGGGTGTACCCCGCCTCCTGCTCATAGACTGCTGGAGATAGGCACCAGCTTCCCCGCGACCCACTATGGAATAAGCGGTAGAAAATGACTGACTGACAATATATTGTAACACTTTTTAATCAGCGTATGATATGAAGTCAGTTAAACCTTTGGAATATTGATCCGGTCAGTTCAGTAGTAGAGAGGGCTGTTAATCAGTGTCAGCTGTTCTGGTGTTAGTGAAGTTAACAGATGGACCCCATAAACAGGAATAGTTTTACAGGTGGAGGCCACAGCAATATCAGTTTGCGCAATATTCATATCACAAAGGACTGCTTGGTGTAATAATTGTTGACTAATGTATTTGAAGAGTTTTGAAGTTGTATTTTTCATGCTAATGCAATATTTATCCAGTAGTACAGTCTCCTAGCAGCAAAAGCTCATACCAGACACAAATGACACACATGCGAAAGGTCACATAAATTAGGAAGTACAGATTAGAAAGGGAGGAAAGAAAAAAAAAGACATGTTTTGCGACTGATGTCATCGCAAATATCGCTATTGCAAGATTTTTTAATATGCAGCCCTAATAGTTTTGCATTTGACCAGGGCCAGCGTCACCACTGGTAGCATGAGGCGATACCTGGACCCTACAGAGGTTGCACAGGCAGTCCAACTCCACCAGGATGGCACATCAATACATGCCATTGCCCAAATGATGGCACCCTGACTGCCATTAGGTCTCGGGATGAAGTCTTTAAACCCTTCGCTGGTGCAGTTGGTCCTGGGTTCCTCCTGGTGCATGATAATGCCTGGCCTCATGTAGCAAAAGTATGCAGGTAGGTCCTGGAAGATGAAATAACTGATATCATTGAATGGCCTCCACGCTCCTCTGACCTAAATCCAACAGAACATCTCTAGAACATCATGTTTAGAACCATCCGACACCACCAGGTTCCACCTCAGACTGTCCATAAGGAGCCTACCCTGACAGTATCAGGCATGCGTACAAGCACATGGGGGTCATACAAACTAGTGAGGACCATTTTTGAGTTACTGCAATGACATTTCAGCAAACCGGACTAATCTGCTGCATCAGTTTTTCAGTTTCCAATTTTTCTGTGACTTTAGATTAAGACTTCTGTGGGTTGATCATCTTCAGTGATGTGGCGTTCTTTTGTTCCTAACTCATTACCCATTCCATATTAGTAAAGATATCCAGCATGATTTTTTTCCTATTGAGATCTGATGTGTTTTTGAAGTGTCCCTTTAATTTTTAAGCAGTATAGTAGGATTATATATTTCAATTGTAGGCAAATCAGTAGCCATTTATGTTAAAACGAGAATGAAGCTAAATGTTTGGTATATTGCAAACCATCATCCAAGAGACTGCTTGACATCTGTGTTAATATCCTTTATGAAAGTCTATACCCTGGTTTTCACTAAAAAAGTTATTGGAAAACTGCATAAACTGCAATGACTATTAGCTAATCATTTAATGACCATGAAATCAGGCTCTCCATGCTGGTAATAAATGTTGATCCTTGCTAAATGCAACAATAACGTTTTAGGACGGCGCAAAGATGTTCTGGTAAAGCTATTAAGTAACTGCAACTAAGTTGTTTCATTGCCAAAGCAGCAGATGTAGCCAAATACATGTTTTTATTAAAACCATGTTGTCACTGATTGCTTTTTTTATCCCAAACCATTTCGTTATCCCAACATTCACCAGCATTATCCCATGTTTGTATAGTTTTTTATTTTTATAAAAAAAAAACAGGACCAGAATATAAAGGATTTTATAATTTGGTCCGTGCAGATGTATTTAAACAGCCCTGTTCAGTTTCTATGTTTCTTGTAATTTTCTGCTCACACTAAGCCTGGTTCTGCTGGAGGTTTCTTCCTGTTAAAAGGGAGTTTTTCCTCTCCACTGTCGCTACATGCATGCTCAGTATGAGGGATTGCTGCAAAGTCAACGCCAGTGACTGTCCACTGTCTCTACATGTTCATCCGGGAGGAGTGAATGCTGCAAGTCACTGACTGGATGCAGTCTGCTGGGTTTCCTTAGATAGAAAAACGTAACCAATTTTAATAATAAACTGGATCTGACTGCACTGTTTGATGTCAGGATTAATTGGAATGTATGTACCTGACTTCAAATCTATATGATTCGACTCAATTGACTTTGTAACGTGCCTTCAGATGACATGTGTTTTGAATTGGTGCTATATAAATAAAACTGAATTGAATTGAATCCAACATGGGGAAGGTGGGTGGGCAATTTATTTTCCCCAAACACCAACAGGCTGGACTCAGGTCTTCAAAGGATGCACTAGTCAATCAGCCAGAGATCAATAACAAATATGGAAATACTCAAATCTTTCTCCCTGCTAAATTCAATAAAATTGAGAACTTACACAATGTTTGGCCTTTAAACAAATAAACCATCAGCTTATTTGTTCTGTGTTTCATGAAATGTGTTTTTTAAAGCTTTGAGACACAATTTGATGCATAACAGGAGATAAACATTTAAATCCTTTACATTTGTTAGACTAAGACCAGTACCTTTATCAAGAACCTGTAGCAGAACCTACACTTTACCTTTGTCTTCAGGATAGAAACACTCAGATGCTGACTATTTGTTGAAAACTTTACATTGACTTTCAGTCGTTGTATTTTGCATGCAGGAACATTTCATAACATTTCATAAAAGCAGCCCCAGTTCTCTTGAACCTTGGTGACCCGAGAAGAGCCTGTTTGACTCTGAACACAAGACTGAAGGCACGACCCTGTGGATTTAACTATTCATATACAAAATATTTGGTAAATCACAGGTTTGAGATCATGCTGTGGCCTAAAATTGTAAAGATGGTTCCTTTATTTTGTGAGCTGAATTACCCCTAGAGACAGCCGGCTACTGGGACAAAGCCAAACATGTTTATTGCATAATGGTGTAGTACATAAATATTAGTAGGAGCCAAAGACGATACAGCATAGAAACAAAATCCCACCAATTATAATCAGCATTAAACTGCTGAGTCCTTGTTCTCCAGAGCTCAGTGCGCCGCTGACAGCAGGATCTTCAACCACTGGGGGTCCAGCAGAGCCCAGTTAGTTCAATAGTAATAATAATATTTGGGTTAAACTTTAAAACAGTGGCAAATTTCAATAAGTCATTTCATATTTCAAATTGAACAAGTTGAACCAATCCTCAACCTACATGCTGGATTTTTGAATGAATGTGTTTTAAAAAAAGTGCACAATCCTTTACCAGGTTACTTTCTATTGTTGTAAGCAGCCAGCTGACTAGAAAGCCTTACTTTTGTGACTGATGATTAAAAACCATTATGCTAAATTAGATCATGAGAAAAATTTTGATTTTTCAAAAATATATCCTATTATCTAAGTTTGTGCTCATACTGTCTAATAAAAGGTTGCTCTCACACTCATAAACTACCCCCCTCCTTTCCCTCCAACGTGGTTCTGTGTCTTCTAAACTAAAACAGGTTTTATGCTCCTGCTCCATCAGAGGAAGCATTTCATTTTGAAGACATTATACGTTATCTGGTCCTCGTCAGATGAGTAATCCCAAAACCATCACTTTTCAAAACCCACCAAAAAGTGGAGGCCCCCCCATCAGCTCCACATCTTTTGCTGCACTTACAGATTTTAAAACTTCATAACATCGGTTTTCAACTATCCCTAATGTTATCAAATTGATTTTGCCAGGAGAATCTGGCTTTATTAATTTGCTTTTCATGTTTTTACTCATTTGTTCTAAACAGAGGATATTCTCCCTGTTTTCACAGATGATGGAAATGTTTCAGATCACTTCAGTTTTATTTATATAGCGTCAATTCACAACACACGTCGCCTCAAGGCACTTTACAAAGACAATGGAGTGGAATCATACAGATTTGAAGTCGGGTACGTACAGTCCAATTAATCCTGACATCAAACAGTGCAGTCAGATCCAGTTTATTATTCAAATTGGTTAAAAATTATGGGACGGGCCTGATCAAATCTGTCCAACCTGATTCTGTGGCGGCAGCTCAGCTCTGCTGTTACTGAAACAGGAGAAAAGCTTTTCTCCTCTAGTCTCTACTGCACCGACTGAGGAAAAAAAGGAAAACAAAATTTTTATAAAACTATAACTGCAGGGGTTTGGGACACTGCTTTTTTTTTTTAAAGAAAAAGGGGGAAAACATTTAAAGCTCTTAAAAGATTTTTTTTACATTAAATTATTTCCAGGAACATAAAAATTAAAAAAAAAACATTTGGGGGGCCCCAGTATCAAACCCCCGGGGTCTAACCCCTATGGCTGACAGTTGCATTCTGGGTATTAGTGAACATTTGAGGCTTTTTCTTTTTTTGGCAAATAGAAAAAAAATTGTAGCTCAAAATAAAAAAAAAAAACTCATACTGTTGTTTCTTTATTGCAATGTATCAAAACATACATTCATATCTGATGAGACTTTTTAACATGTTTAATCAAATTAAGTCTGCTGCGTTTTTAATAATTGAATGGATTACTACAACTGTAACATCTTCCATTCACAGCTTTTAAAGTCAGCTTGTAAACCTACAGGCTTTTTTATGAAAAATAAAGTCATTGAAAGCAGGACAGCTTTAGGCTGTCGTTTCCACCATGTAACAAACTAGGGAGAATAAAGTTGAGACACTAGTTTTACTGTAGCTGCTTTAGTTTGAGATTTGAGCAACTTCACAACCTCTATAGAAATTGATGCAAGTTCCTTTTGATCCCAGTCTTGTAAAGATGTTGAAGACTTGCTTTGACAGGACCATTATATTGCTGGACATGAGCAACACGTAGTGGTGTCAGAGCTCTCAAAGA